ATGATCACCGACAACAGAACCGACCGGTGCTACGTCTATGCTCCCCTCCGCCTTGGCTTTGAATGCACCCCAGTAGCTACTGCCAAGGGATGGGCAAACGCTGAAAGGGAAACGCGCATCACGATTGCATATCTACCCGAAAGCAATATGTAATACTTCGCCCTACCAACGACTACAGGAATCCCTCGACGGATGGAAGTATTACTGAGCTCATGCGGACGTCGAGACTCACTACGACCCAGCACGCAACGCACGAAGAGTACCACTTACAAACTTGACATGGGACGAACTCAACAATGACATCGACAACACTTTGATACGTCGCAGATACGCGTACTACAACGAGGACGGCACACAGAAGAGCCTCACGGAGACGCTTCATAATGTCTACAACCAACAGAACGATAAGCGGTGCGATTTCCATATTGGCGACGATCACGGCATCCGCACCCAGTTCAAGCACGTCGAGCCGAACTATGGCCGAACCGCATTCATCATCGCCATGACCGACTCCAACCACAACGGCACCTTAGGGTCATACTTATCCACGCTTACCAATGACTCAGCATATTCGCTCCATACCTCAAGCGCCTCAACCCGACGCCCACCGTGGGCCGCGTGCACCATCCAACTACCAACAACCAGACTACGTGGAGCAACAAGAGCCAACCGTCTACGAGTGCGAGCCACTAAACCAATGGACTGGAGAAGCACGAGTCAAACCAGACCATCGCCAAGTGCCAACGCCACCGACGCACTACGAGCTGACAACACCACCAATGGACAACCTCAAATGGCCACGCACACTCCACCACGTGGCACCATCGCCAATCCAGGTCCTACACCCCAACGGCCCCAGCACACGTACCACGCGCAACGACACCTGCATCCAACCACAACCAGTAATCGAACTACCCCACCACGACGGACCACAATTCACATTCCGATTGCCCAATCATGTTGTCAAGAGAGACGGCTTCCCTGCCGACCATCCGCCTTGGGTCTTCGCGCAACAACAGCTGGTTCTACACTACGACGTAGGCAAACAAATGCACTACGACCACTTTGACACATAACGACACAACTGCTCAGGCCACACCCGCGACTAAGCAAAGCCCGACGTCAACTACGACTGCATACTGCCGCCACCTGCACACATACTTGCACAACCGACACAGCCAGCAGCAACGCAACCAGCAAACCCCAGGGCCCAAACCAACTTGTGGGGAGGCATGCCCGACCTACTCTGCGACACGACGGACTCCGACGAAAGCACGGTGCCGCAGACACACGCGAGTTTTGCCTAACACCACTTGAACAAAACCAATACCACGACATGCACTGCCCAAGCGGAAGGACAGCGTACTGCTACCACGCTAGCGACACCGACACCGAAGGCTACGAAGACGACAGATGGCACGCCGACCTACTTCTGTCTGGATGGCACAGATGCTTGAACAAGACAACAACGAGATCTTCGAACTTCAGGACGGCACTCAATACCTGCCACACCCACCCCTTCACCCAGACTCACGGGCAACGCCGCTCTCGACATACACACTACCACTGACAACAGCAACCAAGCGGCTTAAGTTCAAGGATGCGGTCCATGCAGACACATACTGACCCATGCCCCAACCACCCAAAACACCTGACTCTGCCTCGCTATGGCAACGACCTACATGCATTCGCGGCCCACTACCGCAACAAGGCAGCATTCCGACTTCAAGTGGTAACGACCAGCCAGCACTTCCGAACACTGATGACAGGAGGACATGCACCACTACCCAAACAATACTGCGTCAAAAAAATAAGTTGCGCAATGGCTTAGCACCTGCCACAATGACGACAACCACATGAAGCGTGACTGGGCGATTAACATACGAGACACCGCATCGTTACTACAACAAGTTTACAACCCGACCGTCGCTGCCAACATCAACATATCCATTTCAGATGCCGACAGCGACAGCACTAGCGAAGAGCACACACACACACACACACGGCAGACGACAACAACAACAACAACAACAACAACAACAACAACAACAACAACAACAACCGACCTCCACCACCCACTGTACCACCACAAAGCAAGCATATCCCGCCGACCAAAAAGCTGGCACCCACATTACCTCCACATTTGATCACGCCCGAAGCTCCGACCGACACAAACGCGCTTACCGACAGACCAGCAGTACCAACCACACCCCAAACAACCAAGCCAAAACCACCTGCCAAGAAAGCACCACCACCTACCACCACACACTCTACCGCACCACAAACAACTACACCAACGCCACCGAGAGACATCACTTTCGACTCTACCCCAACACCCCAGTCCAACCAACCCATTGCACCGACGTCACAACCCCCTACCACCAACACACTACCAGCCAAGAAGCCACAGCCTCTTCCTACTTACGGGGTCAACAAGCCACTTCAACCACCCAACACAACCTACATCATTACAGACATGCCGGCACCAAATACACAATATCCCCCCCGCGCGCGAAGGCTATCTAAGTGGCCACCTACCATGAGAATAGCAATACCAGCACACCCACCACCACCTGTACTCCAGGGACCAATCATCTGCCCACTGCGCGAAGAAATAATGGCAAAGCGCTGGGTACAGGAAATCCCTCAGAACGCCATGGCGCCCCAGGCACACGCCACGCTACAGGCCTACTTCCCAACCCGCGCAGGCCGCGCAATTGCAGTACACAGCACATCGGCGAGACGCGACGAGCAACACCATCTTCGTACACAACACAGGCGATCCGAGCTTCGTCACCTACACCGACAGGCTTCACTCACGTCAGACACGATACGAGCGCTTCCCTGACGGCTTCCACAACAACTTCCTTTCAGTAGCACCCCACCAAGAGCCTCCACCCAAGCCGATGCTGCGACTCTACACAACACCGCCCAAGCCCACGCCGAAGAGCTACGACTACGACGGCCGCGGAGCAGACTAAGGGATACACAGACCGCAAAAAGTGCTCAATGGACGTACAGCAACATACCACGAAAACCACCACAAGTACCAGCAGTACGCCGACTACCGCAGAACATCGTCTACTGATCTCCTCTCTCCCTCACTTCTGGCAAGCAACCTGCCCAAATAGTGTACGCATACATCGTGTTTGTCATTCCCACTCGCCCTCACTGATGCTGACATCCATTCTCATGCTTGGTTAGAAATGCCTACTCTGTTCTGTTTTGACACGGTCTGGTGGTTGGGCGTTTTCGTCACGGAAATCCTGGCGGTTTGGGGTAAGCCGTAAAAGCCCTGGGTCGCAGCCCAAGAACTGCCAGCTCAGACCCTCAGGAGCCCCTCTTCTACTTTTTTGTTCGCAAGCTTTTCCTCTTTTTTCTACAAGCTCAGCAAAGCACGGCAAGTACTGATGTGCCGACAGACGGCTTACTCAACATGACCATGTCTACCTTGGGGGTCCCCAGTCCTACAGGGTGCGACCCCACCTTCTTCGGATGCACACACGCACTGACGTTCATACATCGGCCCAGCTTGCGTACGAAGCTTACCTTTGGGTTTTTCTGACTTGCAGGCGTGGACCTGTTTTTTTCTTGAACGGTCCAGGGGACCGATCTTCTGACAGTTAGGGTCGCAGCCCAATAATTGCATGTGACTGGGATGAGGGTCGTGGAGCGATGAACTTGCCGACCAAGGGTAGCAGTCCAAGAATTGCACACTGCCTTGCTTTATTTCTCCTAATCCTTCACAGCTGTGATGCAGCGACACACCTTGCCATAATAATTCCGCCAGTATACACTGGCCGGCCTCGCATGTACTACAGCATTATTCCATGCTCTCCTTACATATTAAGCACTCCTTCCTTACCTCTCCATCCGCACCTCGCGAACTCAGGGGGGAGCAAAGCCACACTGGTGGCAAGAGTGACGGGGGACCCCCCCCAAGAACTGGAACGGTGAAGCGGACCCCCGCGAGGAACCGAACAAGTACGGGTAGCAACCCGATATATATTGCATTTTAACCCGACATCTGCAAACCAATACTTCACAGTCACAGTCCAGCCTGTTCAGGCCAGCCGACTTCAAGTTTTGCATGTTCCATAAGAGCAGCACTTATTTTACTTTTAGCCTCGGGGTGGCAGCCCAAGAATTGCACGCGATTTCTGCCTGCTCCACAGCAACACATTTTCACCTTTTAGGAACACGGTGACCCGATGGGGGGAAGAGGTTGGGTATCACATTGCTCTGACTACTTGGGTCGGGAGGAACATACTGTCTAAGGGTCGCAGCCCAAACATTGCACACTGTCCGCCTTTCGTTGTGCGAACTGCGAAAAGACATGTGAGCAATATGCCCACGTGTCTTGCTAGCTTGCGCCCTGACCTGCCGAGGCGACGCTCTGTCTTACAGCCGCCTCCTACACTCTTCTTGCAGCATGTACCTGCGAAACGAAGGGAGGGTTCTCATCGTACACATGTTGACACACATGTTATGATTCGGTGCATTTTCTTACTGAGGCGCTCAGGTGCATGCTGCAGTACCTGGCGGGCCCCTACTCTTTCTTCTATTGTTGCCGCTGGCTTTTTTCTACCATCTTGTCCGCGGCGCCCGCCAGGTACCCTTTGTGCCAAGTGGTGTTTACCTTCACCGTCATTTTTTTGTTTTTGCGATAGCGCCACAGTCGTAGCACTCAGGTCTGGTCAACTCAAAACAAGAGGACGAGGAGGAGGAGGAGAAGGCGGAGAAGGAGGAGCAGGAGGAGGAGCAAGAGCAGGAGGAGGAGGATGAGGAGGAGGAGCAGGAGGAGGAGGAGGAGGAGGAGGGGGAGGAGGAGGAGCACCACGCCCGTGAACGCAGCAGCTCCCGGGTGACGAGCGACCGACAGGCGGCCTGCCGCGCCCTAGCGGAGGAGCGCCGCGGAGCGCCGCGGAGCGCCGCGGAGGGCCGCGGAACGCCCAAGGCCCCCTGGCGCGCCCCCCCCCCCCCCCCCCCCCGGGCAGCTCCTCTTGGAACCGCCGGCGCGCCGTGGCCTGCAAAGGGGGCGGGGGCGCGCGGCGGGCACGCCGTGCCCAGGGGGCTGCCGCTCGCGCTGCGGGGGGGGTGTATGGAGGTCCTGCGCCCCGGGCCAAGAGCTGGGCGACCGTCGTCGTCGTCGTCGTCGCTGTCGCTGTCGCTGTCGCTGTCGTCGTCGTCGTCGTCGTCGTCGTCGTCGTCGTTGTCGTCGTCGTCGTCGTCCGTCGTCGTCGTCGTCCGTCGTCGTCGTCGTCGTCGTCGTCGTCGTCGTCATCGTTGTCGTCGCTGTCGTCGTCGTCGACGCTGGCGGCGGCGGCGTCGTCGCCGCCCGTCTCCTCGCCCACCCCTTCCTCCTCCTCGTCCTCCTTCCTCCTTCTCCTCCTCTTCCTCCTTCTCTTCCTTCTCCTTCCTGCTCGGTCTGTCTCCTACTCGTCGCATCTCTCATCCCTATTCCTCGTTCTCTCCCACCTCCTCACCCCTCATTCCGCAATAGTTTAACTCATTACCCTCCCCCTCCTCCTTGTCCTCCTCCTCCTCCTCCTCCTCCTTGTCCTCCTCCTCCTCCTCCTTGTCCTCCTCCTCCTCCTCCTTGTCCTCCTCCTCCTCCTCCTCCTCCATTCCATGTCCTCATAAAGAACTTCTCCCTGTCGCACCCCGAGGCCATTTTTTAGGGCGGGCCGGCCGTTTCACCTGAGACTTCCTCACCATTTATAACTCTGCAGTCAAAGCATTGGTAACAGCTTCATAGATGGAGGGCGCGTGGTTTTCAACATGTGGCTCTCGCCTTAGCGCGTCGCACATTCTTCTGAAACGTTTGAAGAGCTTCACGGATTGAGGGCGGGTGGTGTTCAAAATGCGCCTCCCGCCTTAGCGCGGCGCACATTCGTTCCTTACAAAACTTCACGGGTTGAGGGCGTTTTTTTTGAATGTGGCTCTCGCTTGAGCGCGGCGCACATTCGTTTTAAACATGTGCAAGGGCTTCAGGGATGGAGGCCGGGTCGTTAACATGTGGCGGCGCACATTCGTGTTAAACATGTGCAAGGGCTTCATGGATGGAGGGCGGGTCGTTTTCAAAATGTGGTTCTCGTCTGTGCGCCGCACACACTCGTTTACAAAGTTCGAAAGAGTTTCACGGATTTCCATCGTCAGCGTACCAGAAACGGTGTTTGGAAAAAGGACCAGGATTACGCGGGTGCAACTGTTACGCTGAATCGCTGTGCTGAAGTCCCAGAAATGGCGTTCTGGCGCGATTCAGGGTCGTCAGCACGCAGCAGTCAGGTTGATCCGTGGCGCTGGGATCCAGAGAACGATGTTTTGGCATGCTTCAGGGTCTTCAAACGGTTGTCTTCAAACGAGGCAAGACTCTCAATGGAAATGAATTGTTGTAGGGGCTTGGAGGGAGGGTTTATCCCAACATCGTTGATGATTCTTGGGTATACACTGTTCCTCCTCCTCCTCCTCCTCCTCCTCCTCTTCATCTACACCCTTCTCTTCTCCTCCACCCCGAACCACATTATTGTGTCAGGGTGATTGCTCCCTCCCGGGAGAGGGGGAGGTGGGTGGGGAAGAGGGGGGCGAGGGGGCGGAGGGGGAGGAAAGGGAGGAGGAGAAGGAGAAAGCGGAGGAGGTGGAGGTAGGGAGGAGGGAGGGCAAGGAAGAGGAGAAGCAGGGGGAGGAACTATGGCCATCTGGCCTGAGGGCCCCCGCGCCGCCGCGCCAGGTCCCAGGGGGGGGGGGGGGGCGGCCCCTGAGCGCGGCCGCGATCGGCTTCGCGGTCATCACGTCTACAACAACTTCTGGGTGCACGACTTTATCCGCATGCGGGCGCACAGCTGCGACTGCAGCAACATCCGTCAATGGCACAGCATCCGCGAAAAGGAACATGACCGCGACTCAACCACCGCTTGCTGGGCCACAAGGCTACAAACCTTATTCACTTCTGCTGTGGAGACGTACCAGCAAAGATGCCGAGACTATACCCGCATAGACGAACATGGGCGCGAACAGACGCGACACAAAACCGAGTGGGGTACAACGTCCGGCATGGAATACAGTATCGACCCGACGGCACTGTTATCACTGCTACGACAAACCTCGCGAAAGCATCCAAGCACGAGCTGTGTAACAGCCAGCCCCAGTGCGAGAACGAGCTGCGAAACATGCAGCCCGAGTGCGAGAATGAGCTGCGTAACGAGCAGCCCATACGACTATGGCCGCGCCGCCTACGACGAGTACGACTCAGGCAATTTCGATCACGACCTGTACTCCTACAAAGCCCCAGACTGCTCTGGCTTCCAGAACGTGGAACACTACGACTTGGTGGCCGACGACTCCGATTCGAACCTGGGGGATTACGAAGGAGAGCGTGCCCTCTGAGCTGCTGCAGCCACCAGCAAAGCTACTGGGGCCACCAGACGACCCTCGGGGACCGCAAACTGAACGACGAGGACCACATGCACAGCTATGTGAACCACCAGAAGAGCTCCACGACCCACCTGCCGAGCTACGAAAGCCACCAACCGAGCCATGAGAGCCACAAGATGAGATACGAAGACCGCGAGCTGTACTACGTGAGCCACAAGCAGGTCTACACGGCCCACCAGCGAGCCACGAGGGCCAGCAGCTCAAATACGAGGACCACCAGCAGAGCTACGTGGACTGCCAGGTGAGCTTCGGGAGCCACCTGCTCAGTTACGAGAGCCACGACCACAGCTTCCTGGAAAGGGGTCCATACATTTTTGGTCGTTTAGACTTGCCCACTTTTCTGCAGAGGGGTAGTACATCTAAAGCTTGTTGGCACAATGTACAGTACCACATTGGCCTTGTCTAAAGACCGGGCGAAGGAGGCAACAGTGGCCTGGTCTAGAGCTGGCTTGTCCATGGAGGCTTTTGCGAAGCTTCTGGGAGGCTTCCGGGAGGCTTCCGGAAGGCTTCTGAGAGGTTCCTGAAAGGCCTCTGTGAAGCTTCTGGGTGGCTTCTGGGCTGCCTCTGAGCGGCTTCTGGGCTGCCTCTGAGCGGCTTCTGGGCGGCCTCTGAGCGTCCTCTGAGCGGCTTCTGGGCGGCCTCTGAGCGGCCTGTGAGCGGCTACTGGGCGGCCTCTGAGCGGCCTCTGAGCGGCTACAGAGCGGCCTCTGAGCGGCCTCTGAGCGGCCTCTGAGCGGCCTCTGAGCGGCTACTGGGCGGCCTCTGGGCGGCTTCTGGCCTGTCCTTACTGTGCTCTGCCAGTTCCTTCAGAATTGTTGTTCGCACACCTTGCGATCCATGATGGATATATGAATGCATTCTTCGGGAGAGGTGGCTCCAACCAGGCACAGCCTGCGTTGGCCTCAGGATCAACAGGATCGGGACCACAGTCGCCTGCACGTCACCTCCTTCCTCTTCCAGCCCAACCGTCAGCACCACCGGGAACGGGTCCGGAGTCACCTGCACGACGACTTGCTCCACTTCCACCCGGACCAGTTGTTCCACCACCACCACCACCACCGATTCCCTTGCAGGATGCGCCGAGATCGGTTGGTTTCTACCGTTGCACTGTGATGAAATTGCCTGAGCTTCTACAACAATTTGACGACAGGAAAGAAGCTGGACTTCTCCAGGACCTCCTATCTGCAGGGGTAGTGCGCCCCCTTGGGAATTGCAGCTGCCATGCATCCCACCCAACACGTAGACCCAGTCAAATGGCGAGCCAGGCCAAGAAAGGTCGAGGCCACGGCCCGATAGCTTCGGCTAGATCTGTTGATTTCAGTGGAACACCGTTTGAAGGAAGCAGAAACAAGCTGGGTTGAAATCTGCTGCACACTGGCTTGATGGCACTGGCGTTGGCAGGACGGCCCAATATCTAAAGATATGCGACAGTACTGTATCAACACTTTGGAGCAAACTGCGAATACCAGTTGCGTGGCATCAACAAAACTTGCCAAAGATATCTAACGAAGAATGCATCGCACATATAACTTGGGGACCCCACCGACGGCGGGTTCGCTACGGCGTCCCAGCGCGACCCTTGAAACTCGAGAGCTACATTTTTCCAAGTGGTGGTAGCATTCCGTGTTTTCCAGGGTCCGACGGTTCCTTCCAGGCAGTTTGCGAGTGAAGTAACTTACATCAATAATGTATTGTTGACCATGCTGGACCCATCATGTTCCCTTGTATCGGACCAAGGTTCTGAGTGGGCGCGCCTTCCACGCGTTTTCGCTGGAGCTCAGACGGTCAACCATTCTATTGAATGGGTTACTGCCGATGGTACCACAACCAACCTAGGGGAGTCATTCAATGGTATACTAAAGAACATGGGCAGCGATCTAAATATGTGGAAAGGGCGCGTTGTAGAACCAGAGCTCGAAGTTAGATGGCAGGAACTGGCGTGGAGAATCAATGCAGAATTGAACAAGAGTGTTGTTTCGCTTGGACAGAAGCTGGTAGCTTCAATCTGCAAGCTGCCGGAAACGATTCCAAGGCCGATGCTGAACGAAAGAACAGCACGGAAACTCCCGCGATGCTGGTTTTGAACGTGAAAGAAGTGGAGGCATCCACTGCGACAGTCGTAGCTAAGAATATCATAATGCGAACGGCCCCAAGACGCGTTGAAATCCTGCCCTCTTCAAGTTCTCATTGCTGTCACATCGCAAATCCGCCGCCGTGCTTCCTGGCACGCTGAGGCGCAGCAGAATGCCACGCCCCTTAGGGTTCCCCTGCGTCTCTGACTATTCCGCGGCTCCTCCCCTCCCGCCTCGCCTAACCCGCGCTGAACCGCGTGCATCGCCCCCTCACCCCCTCCTCCTCCCCTGTTCCCTCCCCTTACCGCGTGCATCTCCACCTCCTCCTCCCTCACGGCTCCCCCCCCCGCCCCCCTCTCGAGGTTCCCCTGGCGCCTGCCTGGGGCTCACCCAACGGTCCCCAATCAGCAGTGAGACCCTCAGATGCGCCAAAGGAGCCCCGAGAGGCTGCTTCTGATTCCTCACAGAGAAGGCCACCATCACTCAACAGTGCAACGACACCCGCATGCTTCTGAGTATTTTGCATTTCCGCAGCATCTCGGCTCAAGATGGTTTCAAGAGGGCCTCGAAGGATCCACACAGAGGGCCACTCTTGCCCACTGAGCAACTTCAAAAAGCTCCCAATGGCCCCAGGAGGGACCCAAGACTGCTTAAGCTAAACAAATACTAGCCCTCTTCCCAAGACGAGCCAAGAGGGCCCCCCAGGAGCCCAAGACAGACCCATGACCCAAGGTAGTCCCCATGAGAGGCTCTCAATGACACATGTTGCGGCCCTTTGGACTTAAATCATCGCCACACACAATGCTGCGCTGGCACGGTGGCGGGACTTGCCGCAGGCAGCCCGCTACATGGAAGTATGATGTCCCAGCGTGCGCTCTCTTCACGCAGCATCTGGAACAGCGGGACCTCCAATACAATCACAAGTCTGTCGCCGAGCTTGATTGCGACTTCCGAGCGCATTATTGTGTTATGAGCTCACAGTGCACATGCTTTGTAAAGGGCCACGAGGGGGAAAACAACCTCCCGCTCCATGCCGGCCTGCCTTGTCCTCCCTTTTCACCTTCCACTTTTGAAACCTGCCCGCCCCCTCTGCCCCCCCCGACCTCCCATACCCTCGGCAGCGAGGGCCGCGAAGCGACCGAACGCACGACCCAATGCTGGTGGTTCAAGATGGGGCCCTGAGGGGTTGGGGCCCAAGGATTAGGTCGGGCCTGTCCCCCTTACAAAGGGATTTTGGACGGAAAATAAAACATACACCAAACATACTCAAAAATAATGGCAAAAATCGTCGGCCGACGATTTTTTTTACTATTCTTCCCTACCTAGGCTCTGCCTGGAAGGGTTCTTACTCGGAGGCTTAAAGGGCCGGGCAGTGGGGCCCGCCCCGGGCGGTTCCCCCGGCATCCGCCCCGCGGTTCCCCCAGTGACGTTCCCTTAGCTTCGCGTTGCTGATCTCATCTGAGCTTAGCTTATTTCATCTTACCTTAGCTTAGCTTCATCTTACCTCAGTTTTATCTTAGCTTAGCTTACCTTCATCTTAGCTTCGCTGAGCTTTAGCATAGCAGAGCACAGCATAGCATTGCATAGCGTAGCACAGCATAGCGTAGCATCGCATATCATAGCATGGGTGTACTTCCCTACCTAGGCTCTGCTTAGAGGGTTAGCTTAGCTTAGCTTAGCTTAGTTTAACTTAGCATAGTGCAGCGCTGCATTAGCACAGCATAGCACAGCGCAGCATATCATAGCATATCATAGCATAGCATAGCATAGCATAGCATAGCGCAGCGTAGCATAGCATAGCATAGCTTAACATAGCATAGCACAGCATGACATGTCATAGCTTAGCTTAGCATAGTATAGCATCGCATATCATAGCGCAGCATAACATAGCATAACATAGCATAGCATAGCATAGCAAAGCGCAGCATTGCAGCATGACATGGCATAGCAACTAATGCTGCTTTCCTAGGGGCTCTAACTTCTAGGCAGGGTCGCACTGGGGTAATTGAATATCCCCCTGCAGAGGGACAGGCCCGACTTAACCCAAGGATAGAAGGTGGATCACAAGTCGAAGCTTCACTCGGAGCAGGGCGAGTCGAAGCAGCGACGGCTCCAATGCGGCCCCCCGGCCCCATCTAGGGATCCCCGCGCACCAGCTCCCCGAGCCGCGTCCTGCCGCGGCGACGAGGGGCCACCCAGAAGGCCGGCCATCGCCGTCTCCGCGTGCCCCCCCTGTGACTCCCTGCCCGATGGCTTCCCTGCTCTGAGTAGCCCTTCGTTCGTCGAGGCGCGCGGGGCAAGAGGCGGGGAGAACTCTGGCTTGAGCGCCGCTCGATCGGCAGCAACACATCACCCCGCGGCCCGCATCCGCGCTTTGTCGTTTAATACCCCTAGGGATGACCGGCATGGCCGGCGCAGCACGGCGAGGGAGCCGCCTGGGCACCCCCAGGAGGGAGCCGCCGGCGAGCAGCGCGCCCGCCCGTTCGCGCCCAGAGGGCGGCGGCCTGCCCGTCGTGCGGGACGGGCTCTGCTCCCATGAGGGGCCGCACGGTCGCCCCGACGAGGCAGGCGCAATGCGGGATGACGATTCATGAAAACAAATGGGGGAGAACGTTTTAAAACATAGCTTTCTGTTATTTCTGCGCAATTTGCTGAGTGGAGGAGAGAACGGTTGAAAAAGATGGTTTTCCAGCCCGCGGCCGGTTTTTTCTAATCGTCATCCCGGGCGCCGCCGCGTGAACACGACCCCCGGTCATTTATCAATCGTCATCCTCCATTAGCATGTGGTCGCCCCTCAGCGAACCGTGCCCTCTCGCGCCCGCGCTGCGGTGATTCACTGCCCTCGGGGCTCCCTCCCTGAGCAGCCGGCCGCGCGCGCACGCCTCGCCGCCCACGAGAGCCCCCTCCTGTGGGCGCCGTAGCCCCTCGGGGCCATCGGTGGCCCCGCGCCAGCTCGTCGAAGCCAGCGGCGCCTAGCGTTATGTCAGGCGTGTCCCCTTACAGGGGGATTGTCAATGAAAAGTTTAAAATACCCCAATACCCCAAAATGATCAACAAATAATCAAAAAATAATCCCAAGGCCCCTGACAGGCCAAGGCGTCCGACAGCGTTGCGTGACAACTCGCACGACGAAGCCAGAATATGGACATCGTGAGAGGCAAAGCGAGGGAGAGAGAGAGAGAGAGAGAGAGAAAGAGAGAGAGAGAGAGAGCGAAAAGAGAAAGAGAGAGAGAGAGAGAAAGAGAGAGAGAGAAAACAATATATATGTATATATATATATATATATAGGGAGAGAAAGAGAGAGAGAGAGAGAGAGAGAGAGAGAGAGAGCGAGAGAAGACGCGCGCTCCCAGCTCCCCGCCTGGGCCTCCTCCTCGCCAGACTCTGCCTCAGCGTGAGGAGGCTGCGCCGCCTGGAGGGGGACACAGATTCTGCTCCTCGTCCGGATGCCCCTCCGAGCCGTCTCCGCCAGGCCCTGACCTCCCTCCCCGAGCACCCTCCGCCTCCGCCCCCTGGACACACTCAGTGAGCGAGCAGGCCCCGATGTGGATGGGAGGCGCAGGGTGGGAGGCGAGGCGAGGCGAGCGCGCGCTACCGCCGGGAGCGGGGCCCTTCGGGGCCTGCGCAGGGGAGCTGGGGCCCTCAATGCATGCTGTCCGTGTTCTGACATCCCACAGCATGCCGCAAGAATTCTCCGTTGAACATCTGCCAATTATTCGTATCGCGTGTCTGCGCCAGCGTCCATTTGCAGTCGGCCGGTGTCGTCTCAGCGTCTTGTATCAGCTGGAGCTTGGACGGCTGACGTTGGGGGGTGGTGCAGCGCAGTTTGAAGAATGCACGCAGCAGATTCTAGGTCGGAAGCCGGGTGCCATGTCGAGGTTGACAACTGGATGTCGGAAGTTGGAGGCTCGAACTCTGACGGCTGGGGCGGATGTCTTGAGGTAGAGGTCGAGTGCGACACGTGCCGACGCTGGGTCGAACGCGTAAGTTGGGAGCTGGGGGCCGCTGGTTTCTAGAGATTGAATGGTCGGGGCTGGGGATTTGAAGGTGGAGGTCAACAACTGTGCTCGTAAGATGTTGGGTCGAAAGCTGAAGGTGGGAGCTGGAAGTTGGAATGTGGGAACTGGAACTCACATGGGTCGGATTGGAGGTCAGAATGTGGAGGTGACAAATCCCACCAGCCCTCTGGGCGCAGGTGGTCTAGAGCGTTTCCTTTTCAAGTCTCCTTCCTTTCCCTGCTCGGCAGGTTTACCTCCCCCCCTTCCCTGGGGCTGGACGGGCTCCCCCGCGAGGGGTTAGAGCGTCCAGGATGGCCCAGAGGGCTTTAGCTAGCCCTAGATGGCCTCCAAGATCGCCCAATGTACCTCAAGACGGCTCAAGATAGCCTCCAACACGCATCCAAGAGGCCTCAATACTGCCCCAAGATGGTTTCAAGTGCCCTCCGAGCCCTCCAAGGACCCCCCCCAACAGGCCAAATGGGTTCAACACCTAAGGAACATCCATGTCTTGTGCCTTTTCGCTTTTTCGCTTCCGATGGGCTCTTGATGCGTCAAGATGGTCCCAAGATGGCCCAACATAGCCCCAAGAGAGGCCCAAGAGGGCCCCACGACGACCCCAAGAGCGGTCCAAGACGGCCCCAAGACGCCCTTTTTGGGTCTCCGAGGGGGAGACGTACAGTTAAGACCATGTTTTTTCAAGCGAAGGGGTCCAAGACGGCCCCCAAGACCCCTCAAACAAAACCCAAGAAGGTCACAAGAAAGCCCCCAGAGGACCCCAAGAGGAGGCCCAAAAAGGACCCCAAGAGGAGGCCCCCAGAGGACCCCAAGAGGAGGACCCCCGAAAGGTCCCAAGAAGGCCGTCCACGCGCCGCGTTCCTCCTGCTTCTCCTCCTCCTTCCCTTCCTCCTTTTCTTTGTTCCTCCTTCTCCTCCTCCTCCTCAATCTCCTCCTCCTCCTCCTCCTCCTCCTCCTCTTACCCCCAAGATGGCCCCAGACACCACCAGCACCAGCAGCACCTCTTGCTCCAAGATGGTTCCAAGAGGGCAACAGAACACCACAAGCAGCAGCACCAGCAGCGTCACCACCACCGACACCACCACCACCACCACCATCACCAGCAGCCGCACGCGACTTTACGATAAACTTCGGTGTGGGGGCAGGGACCAATCCTCATCCCCAACAACCAGGAGTGCCAAGCTCGAAGAGCTGCAAGTACAACGTGCCAACTTCGAGCAGATTTTTTCACACTCGATCTGCGCAACAGCTTGGAGACCAGATCGGGCTGAGCAGGCGACGACAAGCTGAGAAACCTCCCAGAGACAACTTCCAGTTGACGGCTTAAAAGAGAGGCGAGCGGTGGGGACGGTGGCAGTGCACCTGAGCCGCGGGGGCGGCGGCCGAGTGGGAAGAGGAACAGGGTTCAGCGAGCCAGTGCTTCCTCATCCCCCAAAAACAAGAGGTCCAAGCTCGAAGAGCTGTACCTACAACATGCTCACTCCGACCCAGACTTTTCATAGACAATCTGCGCAACAGCTTGGTGACCAGACCGGGCTGAGCAGGCGCCTCGAGGGACACAGTAATCTCGAGGCGACGACAAGCTGAGAAACCTCCCAGAGACAACCTCCAGCTGACGGCTTAAAAGGGAGGCGAGCGGTGGGGACGGTGGCAGTGCGCCTGAGCCGCGGAGGCGGCGGCCGAGTGGGAAGAGGAAGAGGGTTCAGAGAACAAGTGCTTCCTCATCCCCCCCAAAAAAGAGGCCCAAGCTCGAAGAGCTGTACCTACAACGTGCTCACTCCGACCCAGACTTTCCACACCCAGTCTGCGCAAGAGCTTGGTGACCAGACCGGGCTGAGCAGGCGCATCGAGGAACGCAAGGATATCGAGGCGACGACAAGCTGAGAAACCTCTCAGGCCCGTCCTGTGTTCTGGAGCCGCAAATCTGTAAAGGGGTCATCCGAAACCTGCGGCTGCCGACACGCGTGCAAGATTAAGGGCGTTGACGGAACGCGAGAGCCAGGCAGCACCAGGCTGCCCTAGCTTCTTGGGACACTGAGCGGCTACCTGTGATCCAATTCACCCTTCGCCTCGTCGATCCCCTCCATGGGGTCGATGTACCTCTTGAGGTTCTCTGGCATCTGGGGGAAGCTTGGCTTGCCTTGATCCTCCTCCTCCTCCTCCTTCCCGGCATTGCCGTCACCACCCGTGGCCTCTTTGCCAGCCCCTCCACGCGCGGCCTCCAAAGGCTGGCTCCCCCGAGAATGGCCCTGGCCTCGGTGAGCTCGTCCGAGGACTGCTGGAGCTCGGCCCTGGCCTGCCTGGTGCCCTTCTCGAACTCGGTGGTGCTATTCTTCAGGGTAAGCCACTCCTCGGCTACACGTAAGATCGGGTCGGGCGAAAGGGGGGGATAGCAAAGGGGGGGGTTTGAGAATCACCTCACGTAGCTGATTTTCCCGGCGCCTCCCGGCGCCGGGAGGCGGCCATGTATCGAGGAATGGCCCCCTCGGTGAGGCCGAAACCAGCTGCATGCAGCAAATTTCGTAACCCCCCCTTTCCCAATCCCCCCCTTTCGCCCGGCCCGATAAGAGTGACCCTGGGCAAGAGTGACCTTTGGTGCGCGGCTTTTGGGGGGCCGCGGGGAGGCCAAATCCAGGCGCGCTAGCCGCTGCTACCGCTTCGCGTTCGGCCATCTGGGGGCCCATCTGTGCCCGCACCAAAGGTCACTCCGGCGAAAGGCCACTCTGACGCCCAGTCGAACTTCTTCTCCAGCATTCGCACTTCATGTCAAGCCGCTGCCGCTGCGGCTGCCGGTGGCTTCCTCGGCGGCGCGGCCAGGCCCTTTGACCACGGAGCACGCGTCCTCTCCCGCGGTCTGCTTCTGCTCGGCGGGGGGGCCATCGGGAGGAGGCCCAAGATCCCGACCAGCCACAACTGGGGGTTGGCGTCGCGCAGAAGGGGGTAGGGGGAGGGGGGAAGGCTTCTTAGAAGGAGGCTGCTTCTTAGAAGGCGCCGGCCTCACATCTACAGAGAAGGCCCGCACCTTCTAAGAAGCAGGGGTACTTCTAAGAAGCCTTCCCCCCTCCCCCTACCCCCCTCTGCGTGCCGCCAAGGGGGAGCTGTGGTGCCTGCCCCCCTGGGGGAACCCATCGCATCGACGATCTCTCGAGGGGGGTGTCGAACTCGATGGGTCCCCCAGGGGGGTAGGGACCAAAGCTCCCCCAGTTGTGGCTGGCCTGAGATCTTCACCATGGCATGTGTCCGATCTGGTGGAGCATGGAGTGACGGGTTTCTCGGCCTTTTCCTACTGCTGGAGATGGCGCGGGGTGTTGAATGGTTGCCCGCACAAGCAGAAGGTCTTCTTCCGGGCCTTGTTGAAGTACTTCCTTTCTCCACACCCGGTGCAGACTAGGTTCTTGCGGTTACGCTGCTGCTGATGCTGGCCTTAATGCGTCCACCATGCACCCATGGCGGTTGTTGGCAGTGCGCGTGACCGCGGGTCTCCACGTGTTGGTGAAGAGCGGTCTGAACCAGCTCTTCGCCTGCGTTCAAGGTGACGCTGCCAGGGCTCGCGGTATCAACTTTCACTTGGCCTCTGCCTCCCATTCTCCTCCTCGCCCTCTTCCTCCTCATCCTCCTCTCTCTCCCTCTCCCTCTCCCTCTCCCTCTCCTCCTCCTCTTTCTCTTCCTCCTCCTCTCCGTTCTCCTTCTTCCACCTTATCCTCTGGCGCTCGTTCCCGCTCGTCCTCCTCCTCCTTCTGCCCCTCGCACTCCTAATGGTCTTTCTCATTGTCGTCATCAGCATCCTCTTCCCCCTGCTTATTGTGCTGAGATGCTTCTGTCCTGGTGCTTGCTTGCGCGCAGCGGCACAGTAAAGACATATAACCAATCGTTCTCATTCTTCCACGTGTGAGAAGGATTTCTCGGGTCACAATCGACCACGCCCCAGCGGATTCTCAGAACGACTCGCACGTTGCAAGGTTGTTTGCAAGCGCGTGCATGGAAGCGGATCTGAATTCCAAGCTGACTCAAGGCTGCTCCTCGCGACCGTCGCGTCCAGACACAGCGCCGCGGGATGTGGTGCTGTCCAACCACGTCGCTGCTACTCTTGCTCCTCTTCTTCCTCCTCCTGCTGCTGCTGCTGCTGCTCCTCCCTCCTCGTCCTCCGTCCGTCTCCCTTTCCTTCTCTTCCGCCTCCTCTTCCCCCTCCTCGCTTTCCCCGTCCCCTCTTCTCCCTCCTCCTCCTCCTCTTTGTGCTCTCCCTCCTCCTCCTCCTCCTCCTCCTCCTCCTCCTCCTCCTCCTCCCTTCCTCCTCCTCCTCCTCCTCCTCCTCCTCCTCCTCCTCCTCCTCCTCCCTCCTCCTCCTCCTCCTCCTCCTCCTCCTCCTCGTCCTCCTCCTCCGCGAACGTGCACTCTCAGACGGTCCGCCAGCCGGCCCGCCGAGCGCGCGGCGTCGCCCTCAGAGAGGATCCCGTCGACCCCCGAGAATCGGGCGTTGGCAGAACTGGGTTTCGTGGAACCTGGTTTAGTGATCTGTACCGGGGGCGCCCCCCCGTCCCATTTCCACTAACCAGAACCCCAGACCCCCTCGAGTTATGAAAAAATCACGACGGGAGGTTTTTCATTATTCTTGGCTTTTGGGGGCCCTTACCGGCCCTCGGGACCGTCAAAAAACGACTCAGGACGAAACACCGGTCCCAGGGAATGGGTCGAGACCTCGGGGGGTCGACGTCATGAAAAAATCATGACGTCGGGGGTCTGGGACTGCCGTCACCCGAAAAAACACCAACTACGGCAAACCTGGTTTAGTGAATCTGGCCAACTGAGGGGCCCCGGGGCCCTACCACTAACCGGGTCCCCTTACCCGAGGTCCTGGCCATACCCGAAGGTAGGGAGAAAATGCATGACCAGCCAAGCCGGGGCTCGACGGGGAGGTCGCCAGTGCTGCCGGAGCAGTGGAAGGCGCCGCTGAAGTTAGGTCGGGCCTGTCCCCCTACAGGGGGATTTTTTCCACGAAAAATGAAAGATACCCCGAAAATGCCCCAAGAAGGTCAAACAATACCCCAAAAATAGTCCCCAGACTATTTTTTGATTATTTTCTTTACTATTTTGGGGGTATTTTCTATTTTTCGTTGAAAATCCCCCTGTAGGGGAACAGGCCCGACTTAACACTACAGAAGCCGCTCGCGAGTCCGACGGCGAGAGCGACGAGCAGGTCAGAGTCGCCCGCGAGCACGACGGCGAAGCCACCAACGGGGCGAGCCTCGGCGATGACGCACAGTCCGAGGACGCCAAAGAAGTTGACGATGAACTTGTGGACCCCTCGCTCGCGGACGAGCCCCGCGGATCCGGCGCAGCACTCCGGCGCCCTCCCGCGGTCCTCAGCGCGAATCTTCCTGCCCACCCAATTTCCAGCAGCAGGGTTTCGGTCAGGTTCCCGCAATGGGCGTGGTGCTTCGCAATCCGCCACACGTGCCATCCGGCTGCCGCGGCCATCACACTCTTGACCGAGCCGTCGAAACCGAATCGGAACGCCGCAGGAGTCCCTCCAGGCACCCATCGCCTCGTCCAGCGCGCGCTGAAAGCCAGCGCAATCCTGGAGGATGTGGTGCATCGCGTCCTCCTCCACGTCGCTCCCGAAGAGGCACGCCTGGTCGGCGCCCCTGCCCTGCATCCGTGGTCCCGTGGGCCACGCGCATAGCCACGTCTTCAGGAGGGCGAGCCTTACCGATGGGGCGCGCCCCAAGAGGAGTTCCTGCTGTCTTTGCCAGTCCACCGCGAGGAGCAGCGGGTCGAGTGCGGGGGACCACCTCCCGAGGCGCTCCTGGAACTTTTCCTGCAGGCCGTGCGGCATGAGGAGGCGTGTCCTTTTGCGCCGCCCGCGTCGTCTGAAGGCCGGGGCGGCCACGGGCACGAGGGAGGCGTGCCTCCGCGACCGTCCGGCGCAGCGCCGCCGCGTGGTTCCCCAGCTTGTGATGACTGGGAAGCCCGCCGCTGGCCTCGCGGAGGTGCTCTGAACTTCTCCTCCTCCTCCTCCTTCTCCTCCTCCTCTTCCTCCTCCTCCTCCTCCTCCTCCTCCAGCTCTTCCCATCAACTCTTCCCCCTGTCTCCGCCGCCCCCCCACCCCCCTGCAGGCAAGGCGCGGGCGTGGGCGGGGCCGCCGTGGTGCCGGCAGGCAGCTTGCCCGCCAGCCGCCCGCTCCGCTGCAGGGCGACGATGTCGTCGCCTCGGCCGTGCCGCGCAGCGGGGCAGCAGCAGCAGCAGCAGCAGCAGCAGCAGCATCAGCAGCAGCAACAGCAGCAGCAGCAGCAGCAGAAGGCCAGGGGGAGGAGGAGGAGGAGGAGGAGGATGAGGAGGAGGAGGAGGAGGAGGAGGAGAGGAGGAGGAGGAGGAGGAGGGGGAGGAGGAGGAGGAGGAGAGGAGCAGGTAGAGGAGGAGGAGGAGGAGAGGGAGGAGGAGGAGGAGGGGAGGAGGAGGAGAAGAGGAGAAGGAGGAGGAGGAGGAGGAGGAGGAGGTAGAGGAGCAGGAGGAGGAGGAGGGGAGGGAGAGGAGGAGGAGGAGGACAAGGAGAGAGGGGACGGGAGGAGGGGGATGAAGAGGAGTACGAGTATGATGGCTCCCTCCCTCCTCCCTCCTCCTCCCTCCCTCCTCCCTCCCCCCTCCCCTCCCTCCTCTCCTCCCTCCCTTCCTCTCCCCTCCCTCCTCTCCCTCCCCTCCCCGTGCCCCTTCCTCCGCTTTTGCCGTGCCCCTGCCTCCTGCTTTGCCTCGCCTTCCCCCCCGTCGCCGCTGTCGTCGGCGTCGTCGTCGTCGTCATCGCCGCCGCCGCCGTCGTCGTCGTCGTCGTCGTCGACGTCGTCGTCGTCGTCGTCGTCATCGTCATCATCATCGTCGTCGTCGCCGTCGTCGTCGTCGTCGTCATCGTCGTCGTGGTGTGGGGCGCCCCACGTTCAGGTGTGAGCGGGTTGAACCTCTTCGTGGCCCCCCTCCCCCTCCTCCCCTTTTACACGCGCACACACGTGAGGCTCAACACACGCTCTCTCACCCACCTGCGAGCATTGTGCGGGATCGCGCGGTGCAAGTGCCGCCCCCATCACGCCACCCGGAACGGGCTGGTCCACCCACCAGAACCGACAGCGGCAACAACCAAGGTGGCGCGTGTTGCTCGCAAGTCGTGTGTGCGTCGGTGTGCCCAGAACCAGGAAAGGGCCGGTCCAGGTGGATGGGTGCGACAAAAAGCAGCGTGAGAGGTGTGTATTTTGGCGCCGGATGGCTGCAGTAGGCCGTCCCCGCCCGCATGCCTCTCCCTCATCCACTGCAGCTGGCATTGCTTGCCGTGGCGTGGGGCCTGGCACGAGACGGCGCGAGGACACGATGTCTCCGCTATGGGCGGGCAACGAAGGAACACACACAAGCACGCACACACACACAAACACACACAAGCACACGCAAACACACACACACAACACACACAAGCACATACAAACAAGCACACACAGACAAACACACACACACAACACACACACAAACACACACAACACACACAAGCACATACACACAAGCACACACAGACACACACACAACACACACAAACTCACAACACACAAGCACATACACACAAGCACACACAGACACACACACAACACACAAGCACACACACAAACACACACAACACACAGAAGCACATACACACAAGCATACACAGACAAACACACACACCACACACAAGCACATACACACAAGCACACACAGACACACACACAACACACACAAACACACACACACAACACACACAAGCACATACACACAAGCACACACAGACAGACACACAACACACACAGAAGAACACACACACAAACACACACACACAACACACACAAGCACATACGCACAAGCACACACAGAAACACACACAACACACACAATCACATACACACAATCACACACACAACACACAAACACACACACACAACACGCAATCACATACACACAAGCACACACAGACACACACACACACAACACACACAAGCACACACACAACACACATAAGCACATACACACAAGCACACATAGACACACACACAACACACACAAGCACATACACAAGCACACACACAACACACACAAGCACACACACACAACACACAGAAGCACATACACACAAGCACACATAGACACACACACACACAACACCCACAAGCACACACAACACACACACAAGCACATACACACAAGCACACACAGACACATAGACACACACACAGACACACACAAGCACATACACATTCATACACGTACACACAGACACATCCCCTGCTCGGGCTTCGAACAGAAGGCGTCCTGGTCTCACGCGTGCCGGCCTTCAAGGTGAAGGACAGAGTCCATCGACGCCGTGCGGTGGGGGGCGTTCGTCGAGGAATGTGCCCAGGAGGCTTCAGACCCTGTAGGACCGCTGATCTGAGGGAGGCGGCGGCGGGATCCGTGGCATAGTCTTCATCGGTGTTCCAACAGCCTCCGGACTCGGGACTCGTCCTTCACAGGGAAAACACACCGACGGAAACATACAAATTCAGAGGTCTGCGCGGATTCCTCGGATCGGCGCTGGGCCCTTCTGGCGGCGCCGCCCCGCGCCGCCCCGCGCGCCAGGGACGGGGGGGGGGGCCAGCGCCGATCGGAGAAATCCGCGTGGACCTCCGAGTTCGTGTATTCATGTCAGCGGTTGTTCCCCTCACCCAATCGCTCCTCATCCAATGCTCTCACCGTACCCCGCGCCGCACCCTGCCTTCTCCCCGCGCAGACGTCGCCCGATCTCTCTGCGCGCCCTCTGGCCGCATCTTACCCCTTGCAGCACTGATTCGACGCACGCGCCCGGCCCCGACTGGACGAGTCGAAACGGAGGGCCAACGCAAGAGGAAGGGATGGGCTGGATGGGGAGAATCGCAGATGTGTCTCGAGCGCTCCTAGCTTGCTCCCTCCCTTGTTGTATCTCTTTCTCTTTCTCTGTCTCCTCCTTCTCTCTCTCTCTCTTTTTTTCTCTCTCTCTCTCTCTCTCTCTCTCTCTTTCTCCATTCCTTATTATATATACATGTATATATGTATGTGTATATATATATATATATTGTGTGCTTGTGTGTCTGCACGCTGCGCGCGCACCCCGCTTCAGGAGGCACCGAGGAGTCGCGCTGCCCCTGTCGGGAGGCCGTCACGCTTACTGCGCCACGCCGTGCCTGTGCCAGCGGCACTCGCAGGGAGGTGGGCCTCGTGCAATCAGCTGGCGGCCCCGGAGCGCCAGCGCATGCGGGCGGATGACTTTGCAGTGCAGTCCAGGGGGTCGACGAGGTGCCAACAGGAGGTCTCGATCTGTGTCCTCGGCGCACTACATCCAAGCGGCGGATGGATCTGAGAGATTTGCGAACATGTGTTTGGATTGCTCTGCCAAGTGCAGCAGCCTGCGGGACAAAGGGGGGAAACATAGGGGGGTGCAGGAAGAGGGAGGGAGAGGGAGGGGAAACGGATTGATGCGTGGCCGCGACGGTCATATGTCTAAGGGTGCTCTGGTCTTTCCATACTCATCATTTTTGCTCGCACAACGTGTGCCGTCTCTCCCTCTCCTCCTCCTCTCCTCGCCCTCCTCCATACCCTGTCGTCTTCATCCCCCTCCTTTCATTATCATTGCACTCTCTCCTCCTGCCCTCCTCCTTGATTCTTCTCCTCCCCCCCTCCTCCTCCTCCTCCTCCTCCTCCTCCTCCTCCTCCTCCTCCTCATCATCATCATCATCATCATCCTCCTCCTGAGGATCCAACTTGTCATCCACACCTTGGTTCTCGGGTCATAACCCAGTTCTCCGGCGGACATTCGGGACAATCCCGGCAACCCCGGAACGCCCTCGACGAAGCGCAACTGATCGATATCAACCCGGGTTCCGAACACATCCGAAAACACGGGTAAACAACACGACATGTTCGAGCACCCAGCAACGCAAGAAACGGCCGAACACTCGGGGAATTATGAAAAAAATCTGAGAATGTAATATGCGCTTCTCCACCCGCTCCGCGCACACTGCCTCCTCCCCCCGTCCACCCCCCCAGGGCTCGGGGCGGGCTGGGGAAGCGGCATCCGCCCAAGCACTCGCCCCTCGAGAAGATGCGAGGCACCGTGCGCGCGCCCGTCATCTGCCCGAGCGTCGTCTGCATCTCGTCCGCCTCGTCCTGGCGCTCCATCCTGGTCCTCCCTCCTCCTCGTCTCCCTCATCTTTCCTAGTCCTCGTCGTCCTCGTCCTCCGTTTCCTCCGCATCCTCGTCTTCCTTCCCCTTCCCCTTCTTTCCTCTTTCTCATCCTTCTCCTATTCTCCCCTCCTCCTCCTCCCCCTCTCCCACTCCTCCTTCTCCTCTTCCTCCTCCTCCCCTCCTCCTCCTTCCCACCGCGCGTCATGTTCGACTTGTCCTCGTCAACCTGGCGCGTGCTCGGCGGAGGGTAGAGCTCGAGACGCTGGAATTGCCGTCGGCCCATGCTCGCCAAGGATCCTATCGTCTTCCTGTTCCACGATTCCCCTCGTCCTCCTCCGCGTCCTCCTCCTACTCCGCGTCTCCCCCTTCCTTCTTCAAGTCCTCCTTCTTCACCTCCGTCTCCCTCCTAGTCCTCTTCCTCCTTCTTCTCCTCCTCATCTGTACCTTCCTTTTTCAATGAGTGCCACCCAGAGCGTCGTAACGAACATCTTATAACGATGGGGCTCTGGATCCCACCTCTGTGCAAGACCCTCCGCGCCGAGCAATCTCAAAGGGCCCGAGGCCCTGGAACAGGTCTCCACGACTGGCAACGATCGCCCGTCGCCGCCTATTCACGATGCCGGATGTCCGACGCATAGAATCGAACAGTGGCCACACGGACGTGGCTCGAGAGCACGAGCCCCTTCGCCGATGACTCAGGGCCCCGCAGAGATAGTCAGAGCGAAGAGCACTGCAAGGTGGAGGACCCGAGCACCGAGAGCAGAAGGGCACATACCCTCCCAGCCTCCCAGGGCCAGGGTTGTCCTTGACCCCCGTGCTAGCCGCAGCTCTTCCTGTTTGGAGTCCCGAGACGGTGCGGTGACAGACCGTGCGGTGACCTCGACATCCCCCAAGACCTCACCGCACGGCCCGCCGCTGCACGGTCTTGGGACCCCGGAGGCCCCTGTTGCCCGAGACGCCCTGGGAGAACGACCCGAGCCCCCAAAACCGTGCGGTGACCCCGAATCCCCACTGGCTCACTGCACGGCGTGGTCGCCGCACCGCTTGGGGGCCCCCGCACCGCAGCGGCCCGCTCCCCGGACGCGGCGCTCTGGGGCGGCCGCTCTGCCCCCGAGGGCTGCGCCCCGAGAGGCGCCACCGTGCGCCCTGCGCGCGGGAGTGCCGCGCGCGAGCGCGGCCCCGAGACGCCCCAGGGAGCCGCGGCGGCCTCGGAGGCCGCACTGCTGCGAGCTTTCACGGCAGCCCTGCAGCCATCGTGCTACCGTGGGGAGCGCAGCAGAGAGAACGACTGGGGCTTGTCTGGCCACGGCGGGCCTGGGCCACAAGCAGCTTCCACGACTACGCCGGCCTGCCTCGGATGGCCGCTTCAAGGCCCACTGCCGGCGATGGGACGTGCGGCGGCCATCCACCAGCACCGCCCTCATCACCACGACGCCCTCGACAACCATGCCAGCCCACCACTCCTATGCCAGCTGCTGGCGTCGGGACATGGAGGAGGAGCAGCCACCGCATTGACAGCGGCCGCCTCAACGCCTACTGCCGCAGATGGGACATGCGGCGGCCGGCCCTTCAGCAGCAACAGGAGACGACTGGAGCGCACGCTGCACCAGGCCAACATCTGCCATGACGACTGCAGCCATGCCCTCCCGCTCCTGACCTGCAACCTCGCAGGAAGGGAAAGCTGGACAGCCCCGTGCCACACACAGCTCACTCCTACCAGCTCGCAGCCCCCTCCTAAGCCCAATGCCGACGTCGGGATATGTAGGGACACGCCAACACCATGACCACACCAACCTGCCTCTCAAGGCCCACTGCAAGCGGTGATGGGACATGCGGCGGCCATCCGTCACCACCACCCTCATCCCCACGGCGCCCTCGACAACCATGCCATTCCATCACTCCTATGCCAGCTGCGGGCGTCGGGATATGGAGGAGGAGCCGCCACCGCATTGACAGCGGCCGCCTCGAAGCTCGCGATGGGACATGCGGCGGCCGCCCTGGCCACTGCCACCACTCCCACGACACCTGCACCTCTAACCATGCCATCCACCCCTCCTAAGCCTACCGCCAGCGTAGGACAAGGAGAGGCACAGATAGCAAGGACAAGATGGACGTTATCCCGACCAGCATGCCCAAGCACCTAGAGTTCGGGCAAATGACATCTCGGGATAGGACGCACTCACGAGTTTAGAGATGGAGATGGAAAGGACAGGACTAGATAGGATGTGTAGCTGACCAGCTGTGCCATAGAACGAACAGAAACAGCATCTACATCGTTACATGTCTCATCGTCCCCCTCCCTTTCCATGCTGGAGCGTCAGACCAAGGCCCTTGTTCTCGGCGCAAGCTCGGCTCAAGGCACGGACCATCAGCCTGAACAGCGTAGGTATGGCTGGAATCCATCGCCAATCACGGCCGCCCGACCATGTCATCGAACAACCGCTGGATATCGGACCCAAGCGGATCTACGAAGGCGACACGCAGAGCTACGACTACTGGACAACGAGAAACGTCAGGGATACTACACATAAGTTCGCGATGGCCACCAGCATCACCATGTTTGTCCACACGTCGTACAATGACAGCAACACCCTCAACGCCGAGCGCATCAGGGCCATATAGCAGATCGGCAACCGGAGCAATTTCAGGAACCGAGCCTACCACCGCTGAGGACATTCAGCACTGGATGCCAGAACAAGTGCGGCGACCCGCACTACGCCCTCACCTACATCACCAACGAGGACCGAAGACCGGAGGTCGGAATCGCCGAGCCCTGCAGGGGGATAGTCAAAACGGACTCGCAGTCCCAAGTGGCACTCGAGCCGCTCATCACCGAGTACACATACACTGCGGTCTACTGGGGCCTGACCAACCTGGCATCTAAAACAGTCAACCGCACAGCAAAACGCTTTACGACCACCACACGACTCGGGCCTACCTACCAGCACCCGACCAAGGAGGCAAGTCAACGTCCACGAAGGCATGGTGGCTGCACTGATGCATTTATTCTACTAGCACTCTGAAGACTGCTTGTTCTTGGACTGGCACTGGCTCAGGCGTCCACAGCTCACTCCCCACTACCAGAACGTCATCAGGTACAACAGCGCTTACGATGCGGAAAGGCTATACGACCACCCTTCGGGTGATAAGGAGTTTGGGGGATGGAGGGGAGAGAACCAAATGCTGGCAAATGCGTGGGTGTGATTATGACGATGCTGGTGCCGCACCCTCGATTTAGCGATGACGCGTGATGACGATGTTGCGCTGCGATGTAATGTCACTATCGCCCTGTTTTCGATCTCACTCGATCGATGCATTATCGATCTCGCGGCCAGTCTTGGTACCAATGGGTTCAGCGATCAATCTCACAGTGGATCCCACTAGCGATCTCACTATCGATTTCTCCATCGATCCCACTATCTATCTCACTGTCGATCTCACGACCAATACCATAAGCAACCTCACTGCCGATCCCGCTGTTGATCTCACTTTCCATCCCATTCTGGCGACATCGTTTTCGATTTCACTATCGACTTCACTGTCGACGCCCGCTCGCTGCAGACGGAACACCGACGGGACACCATCGGGACACTAACGGAACACCACAGGACACCACGGCGGGACACCCCAGGCCAGCGCGCGCCCACGTGGGGCGGAGGGGCGGTCCACTACATCGGGATCACCCTAGCGACGGAGGGGTCAGTCTTCTCGCGCACCCACGCAGCTTCGTCTCGCCCGCACGCACGACACGAACACGAAACCGAAATTGATTTCCCAATGGGGATCTCTCCGTCCTACTGCGATCTCCCCCCCAACCTCCGACCATTGTAATTGCAAGGCAGCTTCCAGAGCGGGACACGCCCTTACTGGTGCTGGCCAGCCCCTTCAAAGGCCTGGACCAACCTCAGGCAAATCCACAGCGCCTGCACGAAACAGGCCACCAAATGCCGAACCCTCGAAGCAGAGGAGCGAAGGACAGTCCACAACATCCGCGTCCAGCACGACGGAGGGCCTTGCGTTCACTCCGTACACTTGGGCACACGGGCCAGACTACGACCGGCTCATGCCTTCGGACGCGAGAGCGACATGCATGTACTTCAGGGGCGTCATCAAGACCATGGGCGTCAAAGGAACGCATCCAACCATCGACGTCTGAACCATCCCCGAGGACATTCACCACCTCACGCGACAGACCAACGGAGGCCTGCACACGCTCCCAGGGCATCACAGGCCTGCCAACAGGCACCCCTCATCCACTGCAGTCTCACCACGAGATCGACAACCTGGACCTCTGCAATGCATCCTACAGGCTACCGTTGGGACCAGGGCAGCCAACGGACATGACGCTTGGATCGGGAGTAGGCCACCTACCCACATGGCCAGCAGACCTCGGAGAACTCCAGCACACAGGACTCGTCCCGATATACAAGGACGTAGCTACCGACCCGACACACGACGTGGGCAGCGTCATCACGACCTGGACGATCGATGGCACGGACAGCGTAGACATGGCCACGCCCATCGCACGAACGACGAAGAACGCCGCGCCGTGGCAGCCGCCCGCCAAAGTCAGGATCATGGGGGGCTCTGTGGAGATCCAGACGACCGACTACAGCACCACCGGCGAGGAACATTGCTGCCCCTGTGCGCAACACGCAACACGTATCGTATTGATACGGAGCTCAACACGTAGGCTGAAAACGTAGATCCGACGCGAAACATTCGCCAATACGTGGTCCGATACGTGGAGCCAACACGCAACTTGTTGACACGGACGTCTTGAACACGGGACGTGTTGCGTTTCAGAACGGGCGTATCGAGGCAACTAAGGCGAGGAGTATACTATCGAAGTGGGCCAGGATCTGAAGGAGCTCCGCGAATCATACGCGCTCAACGAGGCCGCGCGGGCTTACTGCCACAAACTACCGACGCGCAAGGCAACGTGGGAATACCCAGAGGACTGGAAGCTACGAGCGCCTTGAAGAGGCACCTGAGCAACGACAAGGAGGAGACCTTTCGGTACATGAACGAGGCCACGGGCGACGTAGTCTTCAACAGAGGGCCTCCCTTCAAAGCCAAAGGCGCCAAACCCAGGCCGTCACTACCGCCAGGACCACCACCTGCGGAAGCCAACGAGGTGACAGATGTGATTCCACGGGCGGCAATTTACAAGCAGCGATACATCAACAAGTACAACAACGAGGGTGATTTTCGCGAGAACGTCATCTTCGCCATCTACCAGCTCAGCCACCGCGACCCACAGTCCTCCATCGCCAACATGAGGCACGGACGAGAGCTGCTGCAGGCGGCCCATGGCGTCAAGGACATCGCGAAGGACCTCCTCACGGGATTCGCAGACATGGTACTGCACCAACTATGGTACATACAAGACGGAGCCGACAAGCTACGTGCCGCCGGTAGCCACCCCAGCTCCAGCAACGACACCCCTGCGCCGACCGCCACCGACCCGATCGCGATGTGCAAAGGCTGCAGCTCGAGATGGTACATAGGCGGAAACCGCGTGGGCGGAAAGAATAACCTATGCACTTGTACCGACATCGTCTACCGCGACAGCAACGAGAGGACCGACGTCTTCGACGAGGTCTCCCCGCGACCCAACGAGGTCTTCACCGCCGACAGACCACACTACCCGAAGGCACACAACACAAGCGCATTCGCACCCAAGGCGCCATCTACCAGGACACCAGGGGAAACGCATTACAAGAGCGAAGCGCAGCAGGCGGAGCCCACCGACAAGGAGGCTACCACCACAGACCACGCGCGACCGCCGAGGCACAGGGCACCTCCCGATATTCCCCAGAGGACGCCAACACCCACTGCATCACCACTGCACATATACAGCCTCGCCGACCGCTCCAGCGATACGACTGCCACCACCCGCCGAATGAGGCTCCGCCCACGCGTGCCAGCATCCAAGCCGCGGCTACGACCCAAGCCAAGGACACGGGCCCCACACATGTCAGCAGCATGGCGGACAGTAGTTACAGCAAAACAACCACCGCGACACCGAGGACGCACAGCAGCGGGCTAAAGTAGAGGGCCACTTACCTACCACCGCGTTCCTCAGGACAGCGCTGGATCACCCCGACGGCGACGTCAACCAGGTCCGCGCGGCATGACAGGACTGAACGCCAGAGGCCAACACACACACACACAAACGCATGCCTCACCATCAAGCAGGGCGACAACATCCGCATCACATGGATCGGGGCGCCGCCAACCCCGAGGCTTGAGCAGGGACCGACCGTCCCAGCATTCCTGTAGTCCTACCACGAAATCTTCTTAGAACCCCAAAATGTTCGAATAACAAAAACAATGTTCTTAGAACATAAGCTCAACGTGTGTAAACAGGACAATCTCAACCAGAAGTGTTCTAAGAACATTTCGTGGGAACCACACAAGGTTCGTATAACATTGTTTCGTAGGGCTATAGGCGAGCCAGGACGCTTCGCCACTGCTTGAGAGGCCGTGGACCCTCACCGGCCACTGGGCCTGGGGAGAGCATACCTCGGACAGCGCCGCCCACCAGACACCCGAGCGCGGCGAGGCACCGCGGCTACCACCTCTCCGGACCAGAGGGCACAGCCCCCAGCCGCATGATCGACTACAGGCGTACACCTCCAGCATCACCGACGCCTTCGTCGGCCTCCGCCGGACCGAAGACCTGGACAAATGCCGCCGCTTCGTGCTGGACAGTGTGCACCGCGCCATCTTCCGCGAGAGGACCGCAGGCCGTCGCACCCTCCCGGGAAGTACCCAGCTCCGCAGCAGACACAGGACCTAGCGAGAGCAACCAAGACTATCACCAGTGACCTACCAATCAGACGTCACACGCAACCACGCCACCACCTCTCCGTTGTCCCTTCAAGGATGGGCGGAAACCACGCGCCGAGAACAGCCGCGCACGCGGCAACGACCTCAGCCCAATGCCTGGCAACCTACGATCCCCTGCCCAATGCTGGGCGCAGGACCCGTGGCACGGGCCATCCTCACCTCGAGGAGACCCAGCACCAATTCCAATCACTCCCAGCGTCAAACTCTACGGCTGCAGCCGCCATCTGCGGGGCGCAGCCCTTCCATGCCTCCACCAGTTTTGCATCACCGACAGCACAACAAGTACCCAGCTGTCTCCTACCTTCTCCACAACTCTCAACACTAAACCACATCCCTACTACGCATGCGCTGCCACCACGGCAGCAGTAGCACCAGCTACTCCACGACGCGGCACCAGCAGCCTCCCCACCTACTCGCCCTCAGCTCCAGCATACGTCTACATCCACAACCGCAGCCTCTTCTATCGCAGCTACCTTGCACTCTCCTTCCTCGCAAGCTCTGTGGGCAACGGTAACCTCCACCTCTACATCCACAACAGCGGCTTCCTGTGCGACCTCCATCTCCACGACCTAACGTCTGCAACCCCATCCTCATCGGTCACATTATCTACCTCCTCCTCCTCCTCCTCCTCCTCCTCCTCCTCCTCTGAGGTGAGGCGCCTCCAGCCCCAACTAACCTTCTCCTCCCTCGCCTGTTCTGCCTGTAAGACCTCTCCCACCACCTCTCAGCCGCTAACTTTACCACCATCCCCTCGCGCCGCAGGGGCCAGAGGGGAGGATTGGGACGGAGAGGCAGACGACAGAGGACGGCGGGGAGATCCAATGGGTCAGCATCGGCACTGGCCGCTTTGGGGGTACAATCCACAGCGGCAGTGGACCACCTGGCCGCGCCCCGCTAAGAGACGAGCCGAGGAGGCCCCCCCCACCCCCCAGGGGGGTGGTGCCTGGCTCGGACTACCTCCTCTCCTCACCTGCCATCGCGATTCCCACCTCTCGCGCTTTCCCTTCGCTCCGCCTCGTAGGCCTGGGCGCCACCCTTGACTTGCACAGTCAGCAGCGCCCAAGCTCACTCACCCTCTCCACCGCCCCTCGTTCTCCTCCTTCTCCTCCTCCTCCTCCTCCTCCTCCTCCCTCCTCCTCCTCCTCCTCCCTCCTCCTCCTCCTCCCTCCTCCCTCCCTCCCTCCCTCCCTCCCTCCCTCCCTCCCTCCCTCCCTCCCTCCCTCCCTCCCTCCCTCCCTCCCCCCGCCCCACACGGCCCCCTCCCGCCGCGCCGCCGCGCCGCGCCGCACCTCTCGCGCCCCCCGCCTCCTCTTCCTCCTGGACCTCGGGGGCAGGATCGGCTGGAGGCGGGCCCCCTGCCAGGAGAGCCGCGCCGAGGCGGGCTTCAGCTCCCCCCAAAGGGGGGGCCGGGGCCCCCATGCCCGGTCCACCTCTGCACGCGCACGGCGCCGGCACAGACGGGCGCCACCTGCCCCCGCCTCCTCCCCCCCTCCCGAGGTGCATCATCTTGTTGATCATCCATCCTCCTTCCTTCCGGTAGAGGGCAAAAATTAGCAAACACCCCCCCCTGCCCCCCAAAAATCAGAGCCGGCACGCGCGGGGGCGGTGGAAGTGCAGCTCATGAGACCCACCGCCAACTCTGAACATTTTTGGGGGAGGGGGCGGCGTTGACAGATGAGTGTGGCGTGAGTGTTCGCTACTTTTTTCCGAGGCCTGTCTCTCTCTCTCTCTTTCTCTTTGCCTGATTGTTTTTTTGAACGTTGGGGGGAGGGGGAGGCGCTGATAGATGCATGTGGCATGAGTGTTCGCTATTTTTTCCGAGGCCTGCCTCTCTCTCTCTCTCTTTGCCTGTTTGTGTTTTTTTTTCGCTCTCACCCCGCAGGTCGTGGGGGAGGGGGCCCGAGGGCTCCACAGTTCCTGGCGGGCAGACAGAGTCCGCCTCGCCGAGTCGCCGAGGACGGAGGCCAGTGCAAGCCCAAGACGCATCAACGATGTTGCAAGGACAGGGGAACAAAAAGTGACATAGACACAAAAACTCGGAGGTCCGCGCGGATTTCTCGGATCCGCGCTGGACCCCCCTGGCGGCGCCTCCGCGAGTTTTTGTGTTTATGCTACTTTTTGTTCCCCTAAATGAACCCCCCCCCCAGGTTTCCTCTTCAGAGGTCCCATCGGTCCCTACAATCATTCATCTTCATTGTGGCAAGTGGCCCATTCGAAGACAGGCGTCTGATAATCCTCTATCGTTCAGAACCAGTCTCGAGACTCCCCCGCCGCGGATCAACGTGACTCTTGTGTCTTGGCAGCCCATTGCCGTGCCAGAACACCATCCCTGGGACTTCAACACCTCGAGTTAACGTAACTTATGCGCCACGACAATCCTAAACCGTCATTGGACACCATTGTTGGGTCTTCAACTGCACGAATCCTTGAACAAAGTGCGAACTTTTGCAACGAATGTGCGCGGCGCTAAAGCGAGAACCGCAGTGTGAAAAGGGACCGGCCTCCATCCTTGGAGGTGCTGCAAACTTTTCATAATAACGCTCGCAACGCTAGAACGAGAGACACATGTTGTAAAAGAACCGCCCTACGTCCTTGAAGCTGCTGCAAAAAATTAAGACGCATGCGCGCGGCGCTGAAACGAGAGCTCCATTTCGAAACATCATCACCCTCCATCCTTGAAGCTCCTGCACACTTTTACGACGACTGCGCGCGGCGCTGTGTCGAGAGTCACATCTTTTAAACCACCTGTCCTCCAAGTGTGAAGCTGTCGCAAGCTTTTGAGACAGCTGTGCGCGGCGCTCAAGCGAGAAACCCATTGCGAAAACGAGCCCGCCCTCCACCCGTGAGGCTGCTGTGAACGTCAGGTTCGCGAAATGGTGAGGCAGTCGCAAATAGGAAACGCCTGGCCCGCCCGACTGGCACGTCTTGGGGGTGCGGCGGAACAGAGTTTGCTGCGAGGGAAGGTGGCGGAAGCGGTGGATCGGGGCTGTACAGGATCGAGGCTGTCCTGCGAGGAGGAGGAGGAGGCGGAGGAGGAGGAGGAGGAGGAGGCGGAGGAGGAGGAGGAGGAGGAGATCTGGATCGACGGATGGGGGAAGAGGTGGGTCGGGGCTGTCCTGCGGCATCAGGTCCAGCTCCACGGACGCGAAGCGCACGCCCTCCGCCTCTCTGGGCGGATGCCGGCCCCCCCCCGCCCCGCCGGAGGCAGTCGCGGCCCCTGCGGCCCGT